TGAGATGGTATCTCACTGTGGTTTTGATTTGCATTTCTCTGATGATCAGTGATGTTGAGCTTTTTTTCATGTTTGTTGGCTGCATGAATATCTTTGTTTGATAAGTGTCTGTTTATGGCCTTTGACCCCTTTTTTTTTTTTGAGATGGACTCTCACTCTGTCGCCCGGGTTGGAGTGCAGTGGTGCGATCTCGGCTCACTGCAAGCTCCGCCTCCTGGGTTCACGCCATTCTCCTGCCTCAGCCTCCCGAGTAGCTGGGACCACAGGCTTCCGCCACCACGCTGGGCTAACAATTAGCTAGTTACTTTGTAAGATATTTAAACTTACTTTTGTTGCGTGGTTTTATAGACTTTCCCTGCAGTGATGAGTAAAATGTCCAGTAAGATTAGTATTTTGGGGAGATCATGGAGCCTTACTCTAGACCAATACTGTCCTATAGAAATATAAGGTGAGCCAGATACTTAATTTAAAATTTTCTAGTAGTCACATTAAAGAAAAAAGTAGATTAATTTTGGTAGATTAAAAAAATAAGATTAAGTAGATTAATTTTAATAATATGTTTTATTTAACCCAGAATATTATATCCAGGAATAATATCCAGAATATTATTTTAACATGTAATCAATATTTTAAAATTATTGATACATTTTACATTCTTCTTTTGTGTACTGAGTCTTCATAATCTGATGTGTATTTTATGCTTACAGAGCATCTCAGTTGGTACTAGGCATGCTTTAAGTACTCTGATGAGTTGGACCTCACAGATTTAGACTCATGTATGTTTCACTCTTTTTTTTCCCTTCTTTCCCTTCTCATTAATTTGTGGCCATTAGCTTTGCCTGTTCTTTCCTGGACTTTGCTGCCTTTTCTATTCTGCTTCTTCCAACTTACCTTGTACTTAACGTCGCTTATTCTTGGGCTCTTTGTGAATTTGGTCTAAGCTATTTTGTCTTCTAAGCCTGATTACAATTTGTCAGGAAAGGGCCGGTGACCAGGTAGGAGCCTGCAAGGAGGCTGTTGTCTGAGACACAGACTTTCTTTTTTTTTTTTGAGATGGAGGCACATTCTGCCGCCTAGGCTAAAGTGCAGTGGCACGATCTTGGCTCATTGCAACCTCCACTTACCAGGTTCAAGCGGTTCTCCTGCCTCAACCTCCTGAATAGCTGGGATTACAGGGGTACACCACCACGCCCAGCTAATTTTTGTATTTTTAGTAAAGACAGGGTTTCAGCATGTCGGTCAGGCTGGTTTTGAACTCTTGATTTTGTGATGTGCCCGCCTCGACGCAGTCTTTCTTTCTTTCTTTCTCTCTTTCTTTCTCTCTTTCTTTCTCTCTTTCTTTCTCTCTCTCTTTCTCTCTCTCTTTTCTTTCTTTCTTTCTTTCCTTCCTTCCTTCCTTCCTTCCTTCCCTCCCTCCCTCCTTCCTTCCCTACTTCCTTCCCTCC